GGGAAAGAGCCTGCCCAGGGCCTCTGAAACTGTTGAGACATCAGAGGGGGCTTGGGGTGCAGATATTGATTCCAAAATAGGAAAAGAAACTTGAAAATCAAAATGAATAAATGTTTAATCAGATTTTTGCAAAATGCAACACACCCGCTCTTCAACTGCAATTCAGTTCAGCTCCTAGGTAGTTATGTATAAATTATATTCAATGTGGAGCAAAAGCGGGGCCAGGATTAGGGTGGGATGAGTGAGGCGTCTGGAGTGCAATAGTTAAGGTGGGGCTCCATCTCAAGGTCATGCAGGTGCTGGCTCTGCATTTGCAGGAACCTGAGAGTGGTCACCTCCTTAAATTTTGCATCCCAGGGCCTCACTCACTCTGCCCTGGTCCTTGCTCTGAAAACAAAGGAACTTTATATGTACCTCCATAAGGGGCCCCCAGAACAAGGATTCCATTCCTAGATGACCCCTCGGGCAGAGTCAGCCCCAGTCCTGTCTGCTCCCCGATGTACCATCCAACCAGCATCTCTGGTTCTTAGACATGTGTCTTCCTTACATTAGTGGGAAGTCCCCAGCGACAGGGACTCCTGCTTTCTCCCTGACACGGAATCATCCTTCAGTCCAGATGCACTGAAGAATGTAAAATTCTCCCCATTGCACCTTAGGGTTTGCTGCTTTAACCCTTTTCAAATGTCTGGCATTTAAGAGCTTTCTTTTTCAGGAAATACCGCCTGAAGGCTGAAAACGAGGCACGGCAAAACTGGGCCCTGAACTGGGGATTTTTAACAACCCCCCTCGAGGAGGTAAATGTAAATTTGATGAGCTAGGAGGTTATAGAATCAATCATTTCCAAGAATAAATGGTTATGAAGTGTATAATTTGCAAGAATAAATTAAAGAGCATATTGTAGGCGAAGACGGCTGACATCTGAAGTTTCCTCCCATTCACAAATTTATTGAGTACTTACTATGTGCCAGGCACGTTCCAGGTGCTTCATCCGAACCAGCTCATTGAACCCACACGACAACCCCTGTGTGGAGGGGGGTGCTCTTTGATGTCCATTTTCCAAGTGAGGAATTTGAGCTCAAAGAAGTGCCAAGTCACACAGCTCAGAAAGAGAGGCACCAAGGGGAGATGCTGGCCTGGCTGATTCCAGGGCCACTTGGCCTTGGAATTCCCATCTGTAAAATGGGGTGACAGTCCTCACTGCCTCACTGAGTGACTGTGACGTTCAGATGGAAAGAGGGGAGACGCCAAGTGAATATATCGGCACGATTATTAGGAAAATACTCTTGGTATTTCCTACACCAGATAGGAACCAGAAACAAGGAAACGGACCAGGCATAATTAACAGGGAGTGATGGGGACACCAGCAAAGAGACCACTAACCCCATCCAGAGGCAGCCACCATCAGCCCAGCTGAGGGCTACCAGACAAGCAGACTGGCTGTATTTTCTGACTGTTCAAGAGAGTCCAGGGCTTCCCTGGTGGCACAGTCGTTGAGAATCCGCCTGCCCAAGCAAGGGACACGGGTTCGTGCCCCGGTCCGGGAAGATCCCACATGCCGCGGAGCGGCTGGGCCCGTGAGCCATGGCCGCTGAGCCTGCGCATCCGGAGCCTGTGCTCCGCAACGGGAGAGGCCACAACATTGAGAGGCTCGCATACCGCAAAAAAGAAAAAAAAAAAAAAAAGAGTCCAGAAATCCAGATGCTTTAATGAAATCTCTGAGTCTAGAATAGTGGCTTGGATTTATAAGACACCAACAGGCTCGCAGAATGCTTGTGAGCTTCACTGGGATTGTGGCCAGTGGTTTGCAACCTTCCACGTGATCTCCAGGACACAACATGAGGAAACCACATTTCTTTGGAGGGAGGCAGAATTGCACATAGGCCGCATAATTCAGAATGTTCATGATCTAGGCAGCGCAAAGCCCCTTTGTAATTCACCCCGTCCCACTAGTGCTGAAATTATGCCATTCTTAATGAGTTTTTTTAATACTTACAGGGTTACACAATTTGAAATTTTATGCATAAAATGAGTCCTTATTAATATAATATGCATAAAAGAGTCTATATTAATATTCCTTATGTGTAATTAAATTGGGTTTTTGAAGGGTTCAAAATTGCTTTAAAAATTAAAAGGCGGGGGTGGAGGCTCTCCTCATAGTTTACAGGTTGGTCCTGAACCTTGCTGCCATGTTTTAGTCTAAGTCCATAACCTGTGACATGTTCTCAAATCACTCAGCAGGGCTGTAAATAGGCAGTCTGCAAGGGCCTGGGGCTGAGCTGGCCTGTTGGCCAGTCCCCACTCCACTCCTTTCTAACTATGATCTGAGCACCACCCTACCTGTAAAGTGCCTTGCCCTGCGGGGGTGGGGCAGTGAGGGGAAGCTTCCAATGTCTCAGCCTGCGGGGCCCCATCCCTGGGGATTGTGTTTCAGCTGATCAAGTGTGAAGAGCCCGCCACCCCAAAGCCCAAAATCGAGCTTCCCGAGCGCTTCCGCATCCGGCCAGTGACCCCAGTGGAGAAATACATCAAGGTTCGCAAAGTCCTTTTAAGTACTTGCTTTCCTAAGTAAGAAATCAACCCCACCGGAGACGGTGTTTCTCCTGTGTTGCTCCTGGTGGGCCCAGCCACCTGCACAGGTAAGAACACCGCGGCGCCCAGCCTGCGGGGAGGCGGGTTTCCAGCCCTTTCCAAGCGCACACATGGGAGACACAGCAGGTTACTGGTCCCTACACCGGCGGGACCTCAGAGGCCAGAGGAAGGAGTTGGCATTTGAGCCCGATTTGCAGTGGGAAGCAGGGTCACGGTGTGTTGAGAATTGCCTTTTTAAGAGATCGCTCTTGTTGCTGAGTGAGGGACCAGGCCGTCCAGAGGGGTGAAGACTTAGATGGTGTTCCCACCTGAGACCCATCAGCTGTGGATGTAGGTCTCCACTCATGCGTCTCCTCTCATGCGTCTGTCACTTTAATCCTGGGTTCTGCCTCTGCCCAGCTACGGAGAAGGCATTTCTGTGTCCTGATGGGGAGAGCAGATGAAAACTCAGGATGAAGGTGGCCAGGGGTGGGGGAGTTAGGCTCTGGATTTTCTTTTCCTGACGCCCTCAGGGTCTGATGGGGAGGCCAGCTCGTTCATAGTGGGTGCTCAGTGGGTACGATCTGTTAGCCGAATGAATGAGTGACTGAATGAATGAATACATTCCACTGAGATGTTGAGAGGGTTCCCCCCTGATTATACAACAATACTCAGTGGTTTTTCTAGAAATACAGCAAAATATAAATCATACATTAAAACATCCATATGTACCCTGACCCATTGTTAACATTTTGGGGAGCTCCTTCCAGATGTTTTCTATGCCTCCATATACCACCAATAAATGCTAGCTCTTATTTTTTTTCTTTTTTTTGCGGTACGCGGGCCTCTCACTGCTGTGGCCTCTCCCGTTGCGGAGCACAGGCTCCGGACGCGCAGGCTCAGCCGCCATGGCTCACGGGCCCAGCCGTTCCGCGGCATGTGGGATCCTCCCGGACTGGGGCACGAACCCACATCCCCTGCATCGGCAGGCGGACTCTCAACCACTGAGCCACCAGGGAAGCCCTAGCTCTTATTTTATTACTGTCCTTTAGTTGCTCCCCATACTGAGTGCTTTACATCGTTATCTTATTTCCACAACATCCCTGGAAAGTGGCTATAATTGCCATCAAACCCATTTGGCAGATGAGGAAACTGAAGCTGACAAAGGCTGAATAACTTTCCCAAGGTCAAGTGGGTCTGATTCCAGAGCCATACTCTTAAATGTTATTTTTTGACTGCTCCTTCAATAAACACACACACATGCATATATATATATATATATATATATATATATTTAAAAGTCAAACTCCACAGGCTGCTTTGTAATCTCCATTTTTCACTTAACAATATACCCTATATATCTTTCCATGCAGTTAATTACAGCACTCCAAATCATTATTATGTTAATAACTGCATTTTTCTCCATTGTATGGGTCGACCATGATTTGTATACCCTTCCCCATCTCTGGACGTCTAGGTTGTACCCAGTTTGCAAGGAGCACCCTCGTAGACACAGTGTTTTGCTCCCAGTCCGTAAGTTTATGGGGACACGTGCCCAGAAATGCAGTGGTTGTTCAAATGAACCACACACGTGAGGAACCCGCTCTGCCCGCACAAACTCCGACTGGAACCCTAGGGCTGGCCAGCGGACAGGGCAAGAGGGGCAGGTAGAGGCTCTGCTATTTCTCCACTACTGGGTTTTAATTCTGCCACCTCCCTACCCCCACATCCACCCCAGAAGAGGACACAGGGGTCCCCGAGGGACCCTGCTGTCTCTCCTGGCCACAAGCGGTCCCCGTAAGTACCTTGTCCCTGGGGAAGCTGGGCCCCTCCCTCTGCCATCCTGACAAATGGCCCCCGTGCCTGCTCAGGCGGGGTCCACCAGAATCATCATCTTTTCAAAGGAAGCGTTCCCACCTAGAGATCAAAACAGCATCCCCTTCTGCCGGGGAGAAGAGAGGAACTGTCCTGGGACCAGAACAAAACGGAACATGATTTCTCCCTGTGTGAGCCTCTGCTTAGGAGAAGGCCAGGTGTGGAAGCCACGCCCCTGTCAGAGCGTGGTGGGGGTGGACGGGGGAAGGAGTGGAGGGTCAGTCTCACGATGCAGCAGAGAAAGGCACTTTGCTTGTTTCCCTCTGAGCTTCCTTCCTTGCCGAAGAAATGGTTCCCATCTTCCTCCTTCCCATCCGCTCTCCAGGTGGATAGACCCTTTAAAAATACATTTATGGGCTTCCCTGGTGGCGCAGTGGTTGAGAGTCCGCCTGCCGATGCAGGGGACGCGGGTTCGTGCCCCGGTCCGGGAAGATCCCACGTGCCGCGGAGCAGCTGGGCCCGTGAGCCGTGGCCGCTGAGCCTGCACGTCCGGAGCCTGTGCTCCGCAACGGGAGAGGCCACAGCAGTGAGAGGCCCGCGTACCGCAAAAAAAAAAAAAAATATATATATATATATATATACATTTATGGTTTAACAGGCATCCTACACCCCAAAGGGCAATGCCGTGAAAAGCCTCCTCCTGTCCCCCGAGTCCTGAGAGCTGTTGCCCCCTGTCTCTGCACCCTTCCCCAGATGCAATATGCCTATCCAAGTGGATGTGGAGGGGGCTCTAGCCCTTTCTCCTTAGTACACAAATTATACCATATTTTACATCTTTTTATGCATCTTTTTCTCTCTTAGCAGTTTGTCTTCAAAGTCGTTCCATCTGAGAATATACGGAGCCAAGTCATTCTTTTAAACTGCTGCGTACTTTTCCATGGCGTGGAGGGGCTGTGGCTGAACGGGTCCCCATGGATGGACACGTAGGCTGTGTCCAGGCATTGACTATGACAAACAGGGCCTTGGTATGTGCGTGTGCAGGTATTAGGATGTCTTAGGATAAATGCCTAGGGATGGATTGTCAGGTCAAAGAGCGTTTGCATTTTCATTTTTCGTAGATGACGGTGAGATTGCCCTTCACAGAGAATTAACAACAGATTCTCCCATAAGCTCATTCACGGTGGTGTTTTCATCTCTTCATCTGGTTGGGTGAAGTGCGGCATCCCAGGGTGGGTTCTGACTGCATTTCTCTTACAAGTTGGAGATGGACTTGAAAGCTGGTCCCGTGTGTTCCCGAGGTCCCAGCATCGTGGAGAACTGGCTTGCTGGAGGAAATTCTGGCCCCGCTGGCATTTGTTCATGACCCTCTCTGCATGGGGCCTCTCAAGAGATTAATTTTAATACCTCATCAAGAATATATGTTAAGGGGCTTCATCCACCAGGACCGTCCCCTCGGGCCACCGCCTCACTCAAAGATCCTTTGAGCCAAGCGTGAACTCGTAACGCCAAGCGTACTAAACCACTTCATCTCAGTTATTCTGCTGGGACAAATATTCCTCGCTGCTGTCTTGGTTCAAATCCCCCCGTAAGAGCAGAACAGAAGATTATTCCAAATGGAAGGGAGAAACCTGCATAAACATTTAGCCTCATTTTCGAAAAATTTTCCACATTTCAAGGAATTACAAAATTGTGGGTTGTTTTTCATTTCAGATAGAATCCCATTTCCCTTCTGGTTTTTAATGAAATTCAATTGTTTTTCATTCCTGTGGCATCTATGGTTTGGTGGGGGGTGGGGGTGTGTACACACACGTATCATAAAACCTTCTAATCAAACCTATAACTGCCAGGATACCATCTGACAATGTTGCCACATATTTTATAAAGGGCACTGTGAACTGTAGTATTTGGTATTTCTGCACCTCACTTTTTTCTCTTTTTCACTCTTTTACCAAGTAAAAATTATTTCACTGGGTCGTGAATTAAACGTGTTAAGCATTACAAGATAAAGAGACATGTTTGGTGATCGTATATATATATATATATATACATTTATGGTTTAACAGGCATCCTACACCCCAAAGGGCAATGCCGTGAAAAGCCTCCTCCTGTCCCCCGAGTCCTGAGAGCTGTTGCCCCCTGTCTCTGCACCCTTCCCCAGATGCAATATGCCTATCCAAGTGGATGTGGAGGGGGCTCTAGCCCTTTCTCCTTAGTACACAAATTATACCATATTTTACATCTTTTTATGCATCTTTTTCTCTCTTAGCAGTTTGTCTTCAAAGTCGTTCCATCTGAGAATATACGGAGCCAAGTCATTCTTTTAAACTGCTGCGTACTTTTCCATGGCGTGGAGGGGCTGTGGCTGAACGGGTCCCCATGGATGGACACGTAGGCTGTGTCCAGGCATTGACTATGACAAACAGGGCCTTGGTATGTGCGTGTGCAGGTATTAGGATGTCTTAGGATAAATGCCTAGGGATGGATTGTCAGGTCAAAGAGCGTTTGCATTTTCATTTTTCGTAGATGACGGTGAGATTGCCCTTCACAGAGAATTAACAACAGATTCTCCCATAAGCTCATTCACGGTGGTGTTTTCATCTCTTCATCTGGTTGGGTGAAGTGCGGCATCCCAGGGTGGGTTCTGACTGCATTTCTCTTACAAGTTGGAGATGGACTTGAAAGCTGGTCCCGTGTGTTCCCGAGGTCCCAGCATCGTGGAGAACTGGCTTGCTGGAGGAAATTCTGGCCCCGCTGGCATTTGTTCATGACCCTCTCTGCATGGGGCCTCTCAAGAGATTAATTTTAATACCTCATCAAGAATATATGTTAAGGGGCTTCATCCACCAGGACCGTCCCCTCGGGCCACCGCCTCACTCAAAGATCCTTTGAGCCAAGCGTGAACTCGTAACGCCAAGCGTACTAAACCACTTCATCTCAGTTATTCTGCTGGGACAAATATTCCTCGCTGCTGTCTTGGTTCAAATCCCCCCGTAAGAGCAGAACAGAAGATTATTCCAAATGGAAGGGAGAAACCTGCATAAACATTTAGCCTCATTTTCGAAAAATTTTCCACATTTCAAGGAATTACAAAATTGTGGGTTGTTTTTCATTTCAGATAGAATCCCATTTCCCTTCTGGTTTTTAATGAAATTCAATTGTTTTTCATTCCTGTGGCATCTATGGTTTGGTGGGGGGTGGGGGTGTGTACACACACGTATCATAAAACCTTCTAATCAAACCTATAACTGCCAGGATACCATCTGACAATGTTGCCACATATTTTATAAAGGGCACTGTGAACTGTAGTATTTGGTATTTCTGCACCTCACTTTTTTCTCTTTTTCACTCTTTTACCAAGTAAAAATTATTTCACTGGGTCGTGAATTAAACGTGTTAAGCATTACAAGATAAAGAGACATGTTTGGTGATCGTTACTTTCAGGGAAAATGTGATCTCCGAAGCCAGCTGATTGGAGCGTGCTTACGTTCAGCGCACCTTACTTAGGGACCCTGGCTCTTCTTTCTGTCTTTTCTTTCTAATTTTTTCTTCCAGTTTTATTAAGCTATAATTGACACACAGTACTAAGTAAGTATAAGGTGTGCAGCATCATGAGTTGACTTACATACACCATGAAATGATTATCGCAATAAGTTTAGCGAACATCCATCTTCTCATATAGATACAAAATTTAAGAAATAGAAACAAAATTATTTTCTCCTTGTGATGAGAATTCTTAGCATTCACTCTCTTAACAGCTTCCATATAGAACGTAGAGCAGTGCTCATAATATTTATCCTGCTGTCCGTTACATCCCTAGCACTTGTTTTTCTTAAAACTGGAACTCTGTACCTTTTGACCACCTTCATCCAACTCCCCCTCCCCCACCCCCACCTCTGGTAACCGCAAATCTGACCTCTTTTTCTACGAGTTTCTTTGTTTTTGAAGTCTAATTGACCCACAACACTATGTTCGTCCTTATTATACAACACAGTGGTTCAATATTTCTAAACATTTCAAAATGATCACCGTAAGTCTCGTTACGATCTGTCACCATACAAAGATATTGCATAATTACTGACTATATTCCCCACACTGTACATTTCATCCCTGTGACTCATTTATTTTGCATCTGCAAGTTTGTCCCTTTCACTCTCCCTCACCCATTCCTCTCTTCCTCCACCACCCCTTTGGCAACCATCTGTTTGTTCTCTGTTTCTATGACTCTGTCTCTGTTTATTTTTTTCCATTTGTTTTGTTTTTTAGTCTCCACATGTAAGTAAAATCATGCAGTATTTGTCTTTCTCTGTCTGACTTATTTCACTTTTAAGTATCCTCTAGATCCATCTATGCTGTCATAAATGGGAAGATTTCATTAATTTTTATGGCTGAATAATATTCCATTGTGTATATAGACCACATCTTTATCCGGTCATCTGTTGATGGGCACTTTGGTTGCTTCCTTATCTTGGCTATTGTAAATAATGGTTCAATGAACATAGAGTTGCATATATCTTTTCAAATTAGTGTTTTCATTTACTTTAGGTAAGTACCCAGGGGTGGAATTGCTGGATAGTATGATAGTTCTATTTTTAATTTTTTGACAAACCTCCATACTGTTCTCCACAGTGGCTGCACCAATTTCCATTCCCACCAACAGTGCAGGAGGGTTCCCTTTTCTCCACATCCTCGCCAGCACTTGTCATTTGTTGTCTTTTTGATGATGGCGACTCTGACAGGTGTGATGATTAGTGACAGTGAGCATCTTTTAATGTGACTGTTAACTACCTGTATATCTTGTTTGGAAAAATGTCTGTTCAGGTCCTCTGCTCATTTTTTAATCAGGTTGTTTGTTTTTTTGATGCCGAGTTGTATGAGTTCTTTGCGTATCTTGGATATTAACCCTTTATCACATACGTTTGCAAATATCTTCCCCCATTCGGTAGGCGGCCTTTTTGTTCTGTTGACAGTTTCCTTCTCTGTGCAGAATGTGCCTTTGAGTTTGATGTAGTCCCATTTGTTTATTTTTCCCTTGCCTGAGGAGACATATCCAAAAAAATATTGCTAAGACCAATGTCAAAGAGTGTGCTGCCTATGTTTTCTTCTAGAAGTTTTATGGTTTCAGGTCTTACCTTTAAGTCTTTAATCCATTTGAGTTTGGTTTTGTGCATGGTGTGAGACGTAGACCAGTCCGCTGCTTTTGCACGTTGCTGTCCCGCTTTCCCAGCACCATTTATCAAGGAGGCTGCCTTTTCCCCACTGTATATTCTGCCTCCTTTGTCATGGATTAAGTACCCATAGAAGTGTGGGTCCATTTCTGGGCTCTCCATTCTGTTCCATTGACCTATGTGTCTATTTGGGGGACAGTACCGTGGTTCGTTCTGTCTTTTCCACACCAGGCATACCGATCCTGATGCCTCCGTGGACACGCCTCGTGTTGCTGTGGCCCAAGGCGACTCAACCCCCCTGCCTTTCTATTCCAGGTGCTCCCATCCCGCCCAGTCCCGAAGACGAGCCAGGGCTTCATCGGCTGGAGATCCGGGGTGCCGGGCCTGAACAAGTGTCTGGAGCACGATTATGAGATCAGAAGCTGCAAAGGGGCGTATGCCAAGGAGCTAAACTGGCCTAAGCAAGGTATCCACTGAGTCCAGACAGAGACCCTGGCCCCTGGGGCAAGGAAGGGTGGACTGCCAGATGCCGGTGCCCATGCCCAGGAAAGGAAGAGCTCCCCGGCCTCCCCCCCAAGGACAGGGTTCCCCTCCACATCTGCTCATGGGATATTGTTGCAAAGAACACAAAACAGCCCTTAGACGTTTTCAATTCATTAATGCCTCCCTTCCGGAACATTCTTGTAACATATTCATTCTTGGCTAATGCAATGAATAAAGCAAAATAGACTCTCTGATTTTTTTTAATACCATGGGAATTTCTAGGTATAGCTTTTAAAAACACGATGTGATTTCATTTTTAAATATTTGTCTAAACCCTTTAATGTCACCTTCAATCCCCCTTCTCAGCATCCTTGTTGTAATGAAGTTGTTGGCCAGGTGTTTCTGTACCCGAATACCCCTGGGCCTGCTTTTCAGGAGGAATAAAGCGCTTTGAGCGTCCCTCGACACTCCTTCCCCAGGATATCTGCAATACGTCAACAGCTTTAAAGCAAAAATGAGCACAAGATGTGCCACTGAGTGCGGGTTTCCTGGAGAGGATGGGTTTCCCAAGCACTCCGTAGAAAACCTTCTCCGATTACCTGGTCCCCCCCCCCCCCCCCACCCCCCCCCCCCACCACG